TCTACTTTTAAGGCTGTTTTCACCTGATTAACAGTCTCGCAGCCTCCCCAAGACTCACAGGACAGTCACCCCCTCACCTCCAGCTCCAAGCACACACACAACGTTGGCCATCACTCGGACCTGCACACACGGCTTCCTGAGTCTGACCCTGGGGGCCAGAACACGTCTGCAGGCTCTTAAATAAGTTACAAAGATTCCATGGCCACCTTGAAACTGAAGAAAAATGTTCAATGGAAAAAGACATTCAAAAAATTGTGCCAGAGTTAAGCAATGACATGCTTAGCTACTATACCGAAAGTAAAAGTGACTAAAGAAAAAAACGGACGAACTAATGTAAGACAAATAACTGAATTAAAAATGGAACAAGAAATGTGAATAAGACATTTCCCTTTAAACACATACGAATGGTCAACAAGAATGTGAAAAGATGCTCAGCATTACTGGTTATTAGGAAAATGCAAAACCACAGTGAGGTATCACTCCAAACCCACTAGAATGGCTATACTAAAAGATAATAAGAAGTACTGGTGAGGATGTAGAGAAATCAGAGCCTTCGTATAAAATGTAAAATGATGTGACCATTTTGGAAAACAGTTTGCAGTTAAACAGGGAGAGACCATAAGACCCAGCGATTCCACTCTTGGGTATCCAAGGAAAAGGAAAACATGTCCACACAAAATTTGTAAATACATATTCATAGAAATATGCATGAAAGCCAAAAAGTGGAAATAGTTCTGGACAGTGCAGCTCAGGTGGTTGGGCATCGTCCTGCAAACTGAAAGGTCACTGGATCAATTCCTGGTTAGGGCACAGACCTCAGTTGCAGGTTTGGTCCTTGGTCAGGGCACATGCAAAAGGCAACCAATCAATGTTTCTCTCCCTCTCCTCTCTCTTAAGTTAATAAAAGAAAAAAAATTTTAAGTGGAACTAACCCAAATGTTCATCAACTGATGAATGGATAAAAAGAAATTTGTCTATCCACGCATATAAGATCAGTCAGCAGGAAAAAGAGTGCATGCAAAAACATGGATGAACCTCCAAATCACTATGCTAAGTGAAAGAAGCCAGTCACGAAAGAGCACATAATGGATTCATTCCACTGATATGAAATGTCCAGAACAGTCAACTCTATACAAGCACAAAGCACAGCAGAGGGTACCCAGGGACAGGAGGGAGTGGGAGAGAGCTGGGAGTGCTTGTTAATACAATAAGCATGAGCTTTCTTCCTGGAGTGATGAAAGTGTTCTAAAATTAGATGATGGTGAATGGCTGCACAAATCTATAAATATACTAAAAATCATAAAACTATACTTGAAATAGGTAAATGTTATATTGTGTAAATTGTATCTCAATAAAGCTTTTGAAAAATTGTGCCAAACTGCAACCTTTATGAATTCCTAAAAGCCGTCCATAAAGCTACCCGGTAACAGAAGAGGCCAGGCATATTTACCAACCTATACCCCAAGCACCAGTCTAAAGCTGGACCGGCTCTGCGGGCACCGAAATACCAAACACACGTGTTCCAAACACTTTGAGTTTCGAAGGATTGCCAAAGTCTAGAGGCTCTGGTTGCCAATTTTGGTTCCATTTATTGCAACAAACACTGACTGAAGCCACCATAGGCCAAGAACAATGATTTGGATACAAGGATGTAAACTGGGACAGCAAATATGGAAAACAGTATGGAGGTTCCTCAAAAAATTAAAAGTAGAACTAGTTTATGCAATTCCACCTCCGGCTATTTAACTGGAGAAATCCAAAACACTGATTCAAAAAGACATGTGCACCCCTATGTTCACTGCAGTGTTACTTCCAACAGCCAAGATAAGGAAGCAGCCCAAGTGCCTGCCCACAGATGAGTGGTTAAAGGTGTGTAGTGCATGCAGGGTGGGGCAAACACAAGTTTACAGTTGTGAGTGCACACAACACAGTTTATTATTGTATTATTATTTATTAATTATGGTATTAGCTTCCATATGAACAACTGTAAACCTACTTTTGCCCTACCCTGTGAATACAATTGAATATTACTCGGTCATAAAAAAGAGCGAAATCCTACTATCTGCAGCATGGATGGATGTAGAAGGTATTATGCTAAGTGAAAATAAAGTCAGACAGAGAAAGACAAATACCACATGGTTTCACTAACGTGGAATCGAAAGAACAGAATAAATGAACCAACAAACAGACTGACAGATTCAGAGAACAAGCTGATGGCTGCCAGACGGGAGGGGTGGAGGGGCTGGGTGTCAAAGGGGAAGGCATTAAGAAGTACCCACTGGTAGTGACAGAACACTCATGAGGATGTAAAGCACAGCGTAGAGAACACAGCCAATAACATTGCAATAACGACCTACGCTGCCAGGTGGGTACTAGACTTACTGGAGGGGATCGCTTCATAAATTATATAAAATGTCTAACCACTATGCTGCACAACTGAGACTTATAAAATAATGTTGAATGCCAACTGTAGTTGAAACAAAAATTTTTAAAGACTCTAAGGACCAAAGATACAGTGAGCCCAGTGCCCCAGGAGTTCATCGCCTGTGAAGTCTAAGACAAACATGCATGTAGATGACTCAAGGCCAGTGCACGGGGTGCACACTACAGGGATAAGTATGGGGGCAGAGAAACAGTACAAATTAATTTAGTCTTGAGATGGGTGACCCACAAAAGCTTCACAGGAATGATGACACCTGAGCAGGGCTTTTAAAAGGCTTGGTGGACGGGGACGGTGCAGAAAAGGGGAAGGAAGGAGGAAAGCAAACTGTAGCGAAGGCAATAAAAAGGTGCATGTAACAGCAAAGAGGCTTCAGGACTGAGAGAAATTTGGGAACAGAAAGGCTGAGACAAGGACAGTAGAGGACGAGGGTATGGAATTAAGCCAGACTGTGGACGGTCGTCTGGATCTGCTACAATTTTATAAACCTTATCCTAAAGGCAACAGTGAATCATTGAAGGGTTTTAAGTAGAGGAATGAAATGATCACATATTTTTGAAAAATATCATCCCAGCAATTGTTTGTAGGAGGAAGATCCGCCAGGGAAAGGGTTCTCCAGCTTTTGTTTACCTATGTAATTATTTTTCGTGTGCTTTCATATAAAATTTTACACAAAAGTCCAAGATGTGAACAAGCAAAGAGCAAAGCTCTTCTGGTTGAAACAGTGGTGGAGGGCCTGGGGCCCTGCCTGGACAATGCTCCTTCAGCCCCCACCACCGAAGGACCCCTGTGCTCTGCAGAAGACAGTGTGGGAAACTTTGGACAAAAGAGCTCATAATGGAACATCAGGGATTAATTAGGAAGCTACTGCAATAGTCCGGGAAGAAAATTATCAGCACCTAAAATAAGCATAAAGGGAGAAGAGGGTCCAGAAAGTTGTACCCAGATACGGAATTGACAGGCCTTCAGGACTGACTAGACGTACAGTGAGGAGAAGGTAGAGCAGAAGATAACCTGCAGGCTTTCCACCTGGTGAAAAGAAATGACTGCAATGATCAAAGGAAATACACAAGGGACACCTGGCGTTCCTGAAGGCATTTCAACCTCGTAATTCCCCAAACCGAACTGCTGCCCCTTTCTCCCACACCCGTCCCCAGAGCCCGGGTTCTTCATCTCAGTCTGCTGGTGCCCGAGCCCGAAACCCAGGCTTCCCTCTGTCACCAGCGGTCCCCACCCCACATTCAGTCCATTGCCCGGTGCCACTGGTTCTCCTTCCGAAATTCGTTTCATCTGTCCACCACTTCATTCATCACTGCCACTACTCTTCTTTACGGTGCCAGTATCTCACTTCTTGATTTCTCCAACAGCCTCTTCATCAGCCTTCTTGCCACTATCCTTGACTCAGGCCAATCCATTCTACACATGAGATGACCTTTTCAAAGTGTAAAACCCTTCAGTGGGTTCCCACTGCACTTCAAGTCTGAAGACGGGGAATGTGTCCTGCTGCTTTCACCCAGGGACACCCAATGCCTAGTGTCTCTCTAGTACACTGAAAGAATGAAAGAGAGGATGAGGTCTGGGGCAATATGATGAGTTCAGCTACAGGCCTACAGGGTTTGAGGTGTCTGTGGGATGTCCACGTAGAGCTACCCACCTGGTGAAAGGCAATATGGGCCTGGCTCTGACCTGACATTTGGCTTCGCTGTCTCAGGACTACCTAAGTCGAGTTATCTATGGTAAACAGGACTAAGGCCATTTTAGCTAATCATGAACTAAGTTAATAAAGCTTGCAGCAAGCTCAGCTTCTTAAAAAGATTAAAGTGTCTCTCTAATCTGAAATTCTGAGGCTCTGGGTCAGGTCTAGGTTAGCACTTCAAGGACAACAGAAATCACTGACGTTGCACTAGATTTGTGATGGGATCTTTACGAGGAGCAATTTGGTAGCAAACCCTATGACTTGGCCACTTCTTCAAACTACTTTTGCGACCCCCTCAGCTCTCTGATGTCCTCAGCAACTTCCAAATGACTCTTCCACTAGTTAATCATAAATTGTTCCTGATTCTCAGACAGTACATCCCATACATCTGGGGCAGTGCCTGGAAGTCTGTATTCTGACCACTACCCCGGGCAATTTCTCAGCCTGAGGATGCCACTAAGTTAACCGTTTAGGGATGTAAAAGTTACCTTCCTTCCTCTCTCCTACTGACCCCAGAGAGCAGCATTAGGATGTGGCTGCTATAAGGATTTTCAGACAATAAAATTAGGTTACAATTTTACTGGGGCTCCCTATGGTACTATGCAAAGCATTCAATATAAAGTTTTGTACAATGGCAAATGTGAAGAGCTGTCTGAGAGTTCCTAAAAAGTAACAATTACTTTTCCAAATGCAGAAGTAGGAGACTATGATTGTAATTTACAATATCCTTTTTTCCTCGACTTTCTCCAATTATCAATATTTCTTAATTACTACATACAAATGTTTCAAGTTTAGTAAGTTGGTAATGGCATCTATGTTTCAATTTTTTAGGTGAAATATTGAATAATTATTTAAATAGTTTACCTTTTCAAACAGGATATTTTGAGCGCCTCTGCACACAAATCCAGGAGCACACTCGGCTTGTGAGCTGGCCGGTCAGTTGGTCTCCTGCTCAGGCAACCGACCACAGGCAGCAGGTGCTGACGCTGACCATCCTACGATTTTAAACTGGCTTACGTTTGCTCACCTGTCACTTATTTCATAGCCACAAAGGACCACTGGTTAAACGCAGGAAACATTAAGAACTGTTGAAATGTAAGTCAATAAAGAACACAAACATTAAGTCCTGTACCTTCAACTCAAAATGAATTTTACCAGCCCTGTATTACTGAAATCTCACCAGATTTCTGACATCTTACAACAAAATTGGCTCCAACACATCAAAATCCAATGGGAAAATAAAGGAAAAATACAACAAATATAACATCAAAACTGGCTTTTCATTTATGAGGAATTAAGTTTGCCCCCACAACGTGTGAACTGCCTGAAATGTACTTACAAATAGCAGTTTAAAGTATTTTATCTATTATTGTATTTAAAAAGAAAGCCCCCAAATCACTTTTAAATAAGACAAAATATTAGACTTCCTTTTTAAATATATTTTATTGATTATACTATTACACTTGTCCCATTTTTTCTCCCCTTTCTCTGCCCTGTACCCTGCTCCCACCAGCATTCCCCCACCTTAGTTCATGTTCATGGGTCATCCATATAAGTTCCTTAGCTTCCCCATTTCCCATACTATTCTTACGCTCCACCTGCCTATTTAGTACCTACCATCTATGCTTCTTATTCCCTTGTACCTTTTCACCCCTCACCCATCCGCGCTGGTAACCCTCCATGTGACCTGCATTTCTGTAAATCTGTTCTTTTTTCTGGTTGTTTGCTTAGTTTGTTTTTGTTTTTGTTTTTTGTTAGGTTCGGTTACTGATAGTTGTGAGTTTGTTGTCATTTTACTGTTTGTATTTTTGATCATCTTCTCTTTCTTGGTATCTTTAATATTTCATATAATAAGTATATTATTATATGAATTGGTGATGATGAACTCCTTTAACTTGACCTTACCTGGGAAGCACTTTACCTGCCATTCCATTTTAAATGACAGCTTTGCTGGATAGAGTAATCTTGGATTGTAAGTCCTTGCCTCTCATGACTTGGAATACTTCTTTCCAGCCCCTTCTTGCCTGCAAGGTCTCTTTTGAGAAATCAGCTGATAAATCTTATGGGAACTCCTTTGTAGGTAACTGTTTTCTTTTCTCTTGCTGCTTTTGAGATTCTCTCCTTCTCTTTAATCTTGGATAAGGTAATTATGATGTGCCTTGGTGTGTGCTTCCTTGGGTCCAACTTCTTTGGGACTCTCTGAGCTTCCTGGACTTCCTGGGAGTCTATTTCCTTTGCCAGATTGGGGAAGTTCCCCTTCATTATGTTTTCAAATAAGTGTTCAATGTCTTGCTCTTGTTCTTCTCCTCTGGCATCCCCACGATTCAGATACTGTAATGTTTAAAGTTGTCCCAGAGATTCCTAAGCCTCTCCTCATTTTTCTTGAATTCTTATTTCTTCACTCTGTTCTGGTTGAATATTTAATTTCTTCCTTATCCAAACTATTTATTTGAGTCCTGGTTTCCTTCCTTTCACTGTTGCTTCCCTGTACATTTTCCTTTATTTCACTTTTCTTATTCCTTACTTTTCCCTCCATTTTTCAACCATACTCAACCATTTCTATGAGCATCTTGATTATCAGTGTTTTGAATTCTGCATCTGATATGTTGGCTATCTCTTTATCACTTAATTGTATTTTTTCTGGAGCTTTGATCTGTTTTTTCATTTGGGCCATTTTTTTTCTTGGCATGCCTGTTTTGTAGTAAGGGATGGAGCCTTAGGTATTCACCAGGGTGGGGCAACCCATATTGCTGTGTTGTGATGCTGTATGTGGGGGAGGGGTCCGAGAGGGAACAATACCACTTGCTCAGCCCTTACTCAGCTTTCAGTCACTTCCCCCAGGACCCACAAGCAAATTGGGCCCTTTTGGTGCTGATTCCTGGGTGGGTGGTTTTGTGTACATTCTAGGACCCTGTGGGTCTCTCCAACAAACTCTCCTGTGAGGCTGGGAGTTTCTCTTGCCACATCAACCCGCACAGGTTTTTTTCAGTCAGAGGCTTTGAGGTTTTATTTCCCTGCACTGGAACCCTGGGTTGCATGGTCTGTCTTGCTCCCCAGTTGTTCCTTCTGGTTGATCTGCACCCAAATGTGTGACTGTCCGCTCACCAGCCACACTGCCTTGCCAGGATCTCTCTCCACCCTGGCTGCCTGTTTGTGCCCCTCCTACCGGTCTGGATGAATGTTTCTTCTTTAACTCGTTGGATGTCATACTTCTATACAGTTTGATTTTCTGACAGTTCTGGTTATTTTTTTTCTAAATTTTTTATTGTCCTTCTTTCGGTTGTGCAAGGAGGCAAAGTATATCTACCTATGCCTCCATCTTGGCCAGAAGTGTCACCCCAAAATATTAGACTTCTAATCCCTAGGTGATGAAGTAGGGCTTTTTTTCTCTGTGATGCCTGGACACAACCTTAATTTCAATCTGCACCCACTGCACCCACTGTATATTAATTCCCAAAAAACATGTCATTTTAAAGTTTGGTTTATTTTACATGATTAACCTAACTTTGTTACATATGCAAAATAATGCATGAATAAAGTTATTCATTGTAACAGTTTATAATAGTAAAAGACTAGAAATAATCTGAGTATCCGTCAACAGGAAGAACAAGTAATGGTATAATACAACAACATGTATAGTCTTAAAGAAAAGAAGGGAACATACAGGCATGTGTGCAGCAAATAGGGATATGTGATAAATGTATTTCACTGTATATGCTTAAAATAACTCTAGAATGATACTTTCTTTAAAAAAACTAACACTGGTTGCCTGTGAAAGAGACAGGTTGGAAAAATGGGGCCAAGAAAATCTTTTCAGTAGGTATTCTTTTATTTACTTTTTGAAATTTGAGGCATGTGAATGTATAACCTATTCCAAGAAAGAAATGGTTAAAATCAATGACATTTTTAGAAAAGAAAACCATGTACAAGATTTTTAAAGAAGTAAATACTTTAAAAAATGCAGTCCTCAATAACCTGGTTATTCATGATCACACAGATAAAACCATTTTGTGAAGAAACTACTGCAGTTGTCTCTGTGTTAAAACTGCTCCCTCTGTGTGTGCCCCCTGAACTCCATGCAGCACAGCAACCTTCAAGTTCTCTTCATCTCAAACCCCTTCTATATTCCATCATTGGTTTACATATTAGCTACAATGGGCTCTTTTATGTCCTCAGGGCTACAAGGAAAAGCCATACAAACAAACACAAGCTTCTTGACAAATTCCGAGAAGAAGTGACTGAACAAAAATATTTGGGAAAATACTCAGTTTTTCTAATTACTCTATATCACTTGCTAAATTAAAAAGTCAAAATGTCTCAATGTATTGTATAATGTTATGTTAAATCATATTTTAAGTATAAAATATATCAGTACCTAATAAGTGATAATCCACTTAAGATAAATTTTATTTGAATCCCATTTTCTTTTATAGCCCCCAAGTAACAGGGGGTTTTCTAAAAATTAATTCATTAGGAAGTTCTAGAAAAACAAGGTCTCAGGACACAAAAAGGTAAGCAGGAAGCAAGTAACCGAGTATAGCCAGTGAATGAGTGACACCCAGGGTTGTTGGAGAGCAAAAACCACAAATTTCAGGACTTCCGCCAAGATGGAGGCGTAGGTGGAAACCCTGTGCCTTCTCACACAACCAAGTTTAAAGACAACACAGTTTTAGTAACAAAAAATGCAGCCAAAACACAGAAAATTGAATTATATGGAAGTCTGAAAACAACAAACACTTCCGCCAGACCCATAAGAGGGGCAGAGCCAGCGACTGGCAGAGCGGGGTTGCACAGGAAAACTCGACCAGACCGACCCAGGCACCCAGGCAGCTGTCGGCGGATCCCAGGTGTGGGGTAGCAACAGGCGGACCCAGTGAGGGCACAAGGTGGCAGGCTGAGCACAGTCACACATTCTCTCGCAGATAAATCAGGCAAAGGGGCAGGCAGTGAGACAGACCACGCAGGCCCCAGCAGCAGGAAGCAGCAGAGGGGACTGCCATTTCCCCTCTTCGACCCCGCCCCCACTTACAGCATCACAACCCAGTGACCTGGGTGGCCCCGCCCTGGTGAACACCTAAGACTCTGCTCCTCATATCTAACAGGAGCAAACAGACCAAAACATTATGGCTCAAGAACAACTCAAAGCCCCAGAGCCAATAATTCTAAGCAATGAAGAAATAGCCAAACTTTCAGATGCACAGTTCAAAACACTGGTCATCAGGATGCTCACAGAACTGGTTGATTTTAGTCACAAATTAGAGGAACAAATGAAGGCTTCACTAATTGAAATGAAGGGAAATGCACAGGAAACCAATAGTGATGGAAAGGAAACTGGGACTCAAATCAAAGGAGTGGACCAGAAGGAAGAAAAAAATGACTAAACAGAAAAATATGAAGAAACAAGAATTCAAAAAAATGAGGAGAGGCTTAGGAACCTCCAGGACATCTTTAAACGTCCCAACATCCGAATTATAGGAGTACCAGAAGAGAAAGAGGAACAGCCACGAGTGGAACACTTATTTAAACAAATAATAAAGGAGAACTTCCCCAATCAGGCAAAGGAAATAGGTTCCAGGAAATCCAGGAAGCTCAGAGAGTCCCTAACAAGTTGGACCCAAGAAGGAACACACCAAGGCACATCATCATTACATTAGCCAAGATTCAAATGAAGGAGAGAATCCTAGAAGCAGCAAGAGATAAGGGGACAATCACCTACAAAGGAGTTCCCATCAGACTGTCAGCAGATTTCTCAAAAGAGACCTTACAGGCAAGAAGGGGCTGGAAAGAAGTATTCCAACTCATGAAATCCAAAGACCTGCATCCAAGACTGCTCTATCCAGCAAAGTTTTTATTTAGAATGGAAGGGCAGATAAAGTGCTTCTCAGATAAGATCAAATTCAAGGAGTTCCTCATCACCAAGCCCTTATTATATGAAATGTTAAAGGGACTTACCTAAGAAAAAGAAGATAAAAAAGATGAACAGTGAAAGGACAGCAAACTCACAGTTATTAAGAACCACACCTAAAACAAAAGCAAACTAAGAGGACAGCTAGATCAGGAGCAGAACCATAGAAATGAAGATCTC